CAAGTAAAAGAATTCATATTTTTTTGATGAAAATGTCCATAGTGCTGGACCGTTCCCATTTTGTGCCAAGCCGTATGCCCAAAGTGTCGGACCACCCCTATTTTGTGTCGAACCGTATGCTTTATAGAAACTCGAAGTGTGGGACCGTTTCCATTTTGTGTCGGATCGCATGCCCAAAGTGTTAGACGACCCTTATTTTGGGCCGGATTGCATGTTTTCTAGAAGCCCAAAGTGTCGGAGCGCCTCCATGTTGTGCCGGACCATATGCTAAAAGTGTAGGACTGCCCCTATTTTGTGTTGGGCTGCATGTTTTCTAGAAGTTAAGTGTTGGACCGCCCCCATTTTGTGTTAGACCACATGCTTTTTTTAGGGTATTTTGGTCTTCATTTTACCTTCTTTTTTACTTGGGGGGCTATTTGCTAGGAAGTTAAATTTAGGAAAAAAATTACTAAAAAAATCTTGGTTGGAGGGAACTTGTCTAAAAAGTATGATTTTGGGGGACTTTTGTAATTTTTCCTTTTAAATAATACACTTTTCACTTTGATAAATAATTACAAAAAAAATAAACTTTAAAAATGCACCCTAAAAAAATGTTTTTTAACCTACTTAACATAAGCTATCTGTTTGGCTTTTCTAAATTTTGTAGAGGACATTAGATTAACCGTATTAAAAAGGATAAAATTTACTAAATGAACTACGAAATTCATTATTAGACGGGTGATCAGTTTGACACTACGTAATGCATACTGATTTTTTTTTCTTTTTTTTTAATTCATTATTAGGCCCGAAATTGCCTTGCAACTAATCCAATTTACCTTGTCCGACTTGGGTTATTTTCAAGTAGGTTGGCGACATATATCATTAGAAATTCAGAATAAAATGTAAAAAATTGGGGGAACTTTGAAGTTCCTCGAAACAAAAGGGCCCACCCACTGATCCCGATCTTAATCAACGACTTTTAAAACAATACTCAAATGTCGTATTGTCTAGTTGACTTTTACGGTACCTTAAGACCATAGTTATATGTTATGCCTAAAATGTCTTTTTCATACTTGTAAATGAAAAGTAGATTGTTTACTCTGAGACTATTTATTTTTTATACAAGGAGTTCACAATCACTTTTTATCATTAGATGTGAAATTCAATAGATGAAATTGTATCACAACATTCAATAAATTTTGTATTAGACTTTGTGCCTCACACCTCTAACCACTCGATCTCAAATCTAACAGTCAATGATATTTGTGACCTTTTATAAAAAATAAATGATCTCATTGTATCCATTTTCAATAAAAAATTGAAACTATGGTAGAACTAATAGTATGTATTTTAAGTAAATAAAATCTGGTACAAAAAATGCTAAAAAATCTCATCAAAATTAAGAAAATAAATGGCAAATTTGGTGAAACAAAAGCAAAACTTAAGTAAATGTCACTAATATTGTTTGGGACTAGTGTTAAAGACTGCAATGGAGAACCATTGGATATGATCACTGCACGTCAAATAGTAGATATTCGCAAAGTAAATTCTCCCTTTTTCTCAATGAGGATTTGGTCCCACACTTTTTTGTGAGAATGGAGTCAGAGAATTCACTATGAAGCTCCGCAAAACTACCACCAAGGCCTAAGCGATTCTCAATTTTCCATGAACTTTTTCTCTCTCTCATACATTGTAAGCTCCATCTCAGTCACATGCAAAGTTTTCATGTGATAGAAAATTCTCCCACCCATGCATCTCATCTCTCTCTCATTTTGAATAAGGGTGGCAATAGGCACAGACGTGACTAAGGACCTGAAAGGTAGACCCAAGCCAGGTCTTGGGGTTCAAAGTTTAGATCTGAACACGGTTTGAGTTCGGGTCTGGGTCCGATCAGATCCAAATCTCACGTATTTTTGGGTGAAAAACAATTATATATATATATAACGTCTAATCAGGTCTAGGTCTAGGCTTGGGTCCCATATTATATTTTTGGGTCCAGGCTCTGTCACTTTGGGTTTGGGTATGGACTCAGGTCCCATAATACTTTTTCTCAAGTCCGGAACTTGCCGGATCCAGGCCTGACCCCGTTGTCACCCCTACTCATTCGTATACATTGTAAGCTCTATGTCTCGCATGTAGTGTTTCCTGATGGAAATAATGGGTTGAGGGTGAAAACTACGTCAATGAAGAGTCGCTTTGGATGATGGTATGCTTGGTGGTTTTCCGAACAATTGACGAGGAGATCTTCCTATTTTCCGGCATGCTAATTCATTATCTCTGCATATGGTTCTTCGAGTAAATTTGTCTTTGGGATACTTAAAAATAAAAGATCGAAAGCTTATGTACCTAATTCCGATACGCTAATTCATAAACTCAATGCATAGGAACGGCAAGATCTCAAAGCACTAGAGTTGCCTTCTTTTCAAGAGAGAAAACACGTAAGAGGGTAATGGAGTGTAAAGCACTGTGTTTTCAAGAGTGTGTTCTGAATCCGAGAAAATATCATTTCAACTTATAGGTTGCGAAATTCAAGAGGGTGCAGTGCTTTACTGTGAAATCCCTTTATGCTAGATTGAGCGAAGATCGCCACCTCCAACACAGACCTCAGGCTATCGAGGTATGGGGTTTAAAAGTACCAGGCATTTCACTGGTTAGCTGTATGAGATAGGACTCTATCAATAGAACAACTTGGTGTTTATTTTGCCTAACTTTTGCATTCTCTGTAGAAATGACTCTGGGTCCAACAATCATCTGTTTTTACATTGCCCATTTTTGTTAATATATGGCAGTAGATACTGAATATTTTTCGCTTTGATTTGATTATTCCTAACACTATCGCCCGACTTTTCTCAGCTTGGCTAACTCCACCATTTCCAGAGACAAGTAATAACCTTTGGAGAATGCCAATGGCATTGATATTTTGAGAGGAATGCAATAATTTTTTAAAATAGACAATGTTCTTGGGAGGATGTTAAGTGCAAAGCTTAATCAATGCTTATCTCTTAGATAAAAACCAATATTGACTGTGGAACTCTGTCAAGAAAAGAAATTCTGAGTAATTTTGAATTCCTTATCTGATATCGCAAGAGAAGATTCACAAGAGCCTCCAATGGTTCCCATTAGAAGAATATTGGTTTAAACTTAATTTTAATGGTAGTTCAAAAGGGGATCTAGGATTATATGATGGTATTATATCAACAAGAGAAAGAGGATTACTAAGGGATCACTTAAGCAATGTAATCTTTTCCTATTATATCACTGAAGCTGAGCTTTGGGCCGTGAAATTTGGGGTATCAAAGCTTGAAGAAACACACGCGAGTTATTATCGAAGGAGATTCCTCTAATGTCATATCATGGTGTTCAAATCCAGCTACCACACCTTGGAGATGGAGGCACCTACTTGATCACATTCCCCCTTAGCTTTCTTCCGGATCCTTTTCCTTTTCAGCATGTTTCCAAAGAAAATAATGGAGAAGCAAACTCCCTTGCCAAAGAGTGTATCTAGGATTGCATTCCCTCTTTGTTTCTCTTTCTCCTCCTCTTTATGTTTGTCCTTTCTCTTTTTCCCTCCTCCTTTCTCACTCTCCTTTTTTTTTTTTTCACTCTCTTTTTTAGTTTTTTCTGATCATTGTTTTCAAAGTACTTTTTAATTTGAACTTTCTATTTTGATTTTGATTAATACCTCATGTACTATGAAATCAATTATTTAATTTCTAATACTTAGTTTTATGTTTTTCTATAATTTTTTGTTATTTTATCTGACTCTAATTTTTTGAATATTGGCCCTTCGGCCAGGTTGGCTCACCGAGTCCGCCAGCTTGACTCATTCCCACTCAGACTAGTGACCAGTTTGACTCCATGAACCGGGCTTTTAGACACCAATTACAATACTATAATGCCATTTATTTTTGGGAAAATTACATATATCCTCAGTCTCAAACTTTCTAGACAACCTCACCCATCCAACTTTTCTTTCACAACTTTTACCCCGAAGCACACTTTTCTAGCAAATACCCCCAAGGCAAAAAGTCATTATTCGTACAAGCTCGCGCGTCCCACCCTATGGGAAGCCCATTGACCAATGGTTAACGGTCAGACCGCGGTAAATAACTGCTGGATTGGTACCATGTTAGAAGACCCATGCCAGTAGGTTAACAGCCGGATCGCACTAAAAAACTATCGGACCGATGCCACATTTTGCCGAATCGCCATTTATATTGCCGGACCGTGATCAAGAAAACCATTGCCGGATCACAATGCACAAATGCTCGACCGAAAGCACCTTCTATTGGATTGCAAGTACCCTACGCTAGACCGCGTACACATCCTACCGCAGCAAGTGGAAAGAATGTTGGAATGATGACATCTCTTGCCAGACCTCAAGAACCCTAATGTCGGACCGTGTTCACCTTTTGCTGTAACGAGTGGGAATTTTGTTGGACCGAGATCACTACACGGCGGACTGTGTAGAATTGATGCCGGACCATGTTCAAAAATTGCCACCTAGCATCCCACGGGTGTGACGCGAGCTTGTATGAACAAGGGCATTTTTGTCAAAAAATGATGACTTTTCTACTTGTGGAGTATTTGCTAAAAAATATGTTTGGGGTAAAAGTTGACAAAGAAAAGCGGGTTGGGAGAGGATGTCTAGAAAATCCAAAATTGGGGGTATTTGCAGTTTTCTTTTTATTTTTTTTGTAGAAAATATTTTTAGCCATTGGATGTGAGATCCGAGGTATTAAAGTATGGGTGCAGTTGGCATACGGATGCATCCGTAACTATAGAGGTAAGGTGCGCCTTCAAATTTTATCATGCTATATAATTTTGATGTAAAATGTTATTAGGATTATCTCAAAATTTATTTTTATATCTAATTATAAAATTTTAAATTTTAAAAATAGTTAAAATCAAGTAGATCTATAAACATATGAAAATCTTGAAAACAAACGGTGTAAATAATATATTGTAAAATACACTATTTCTAAGTCTTAAATTTTTTTTTATTTTTCATGGTCATACATCTCAATGTCGAGATGATTAATCAAAGTGTTTTTCAACATTAAAACTACCTGTTCCGATGGATTTTTGAGGTGCATCCGTAGCTCTACATTATAAGGTTGCAACCTTATATAAGCTTTTTCTTTAAAAGTATATCATAATATTGAAGAAATTTTTATTCAGACCATCCCAGCCGAATAATAACTGTGACAGTTTAGCATTCACCCGCTGTCTCCCTCTAGCTTACTTTTCTTCATTAGTTCGGACGTCGTTTTAGGAGCAGTCTTGTCGGGTTGATTAGCCAGCCCGACAAGCCTGGCCCTAAAAAACCAGGTCCTAGCCCATGCTATGTGGCCCAAGGGCTGGGCTTGGCCCAAATCCAGGGCACTTCGGCTCTACATCAGCCGACCTGACCCGTCACATTTTGTTTCGGTTATTTTTCCTTTTTTTTTCGATTTTATTTTGCCAGCATGACCCGGATCTTTTGGCCGGGTTAGGTACAGACCGTGCTCGGTTTAGGGGCGACCCGGGCGGTTGCGACACCCATGCATGTAGGTTTACAAATTCGCGTGCGAAATCTCTGACGCTTAAGCAGAGTTTTTTCGTCGTTTTGACCAATAATGAGCAAAATACTTTCCCAAAAACGTCTGCAGACAACAATACCCAGCTTTCCCCTTCCTTTTCTATTCAAATTAACTGAGCTCTCTCATCCTCTACGATCCTCATTGCTTCGTTAATGGTGCTCTTCTCAAACCCTATCTCCTCGGAGATGGCGTTTTCAACAACTATTAGCTGTGGTTCTTCAACAATGGCGTGTGTTTCTCGCTCCTCTTCTCCCAATTCTTTCCAATTGCATCTACTCACTCACTCTCGTTGTCGAGCTCAGAATTCTCGGGTATTCCTCCGGCGAAGTTTCAGGGCAATTAACTGGTCCATTAGGTGTAGCCTTCCGGAGAAGTCATGGGTTGAGCCTGAGCCTTCCTCACCGGAGAATTTTTCTGGCTGGTCATCACCGGATTCCGGCCAGAGGAGGCGTGGATATGGAGGTGAGGATTTTTTTTTTCTTACTTGATTAGTCCATGGTTTATTTGGGTAAGTTCTGGTGTGAATGAATTATGAGTTTATTTATGTGTTTTTTCATCTGGATGAATTTTTCAGAATTGCTTGGCAATGTGGTCATGAGTACTTCTTACGTGGTGTTCTGAATTTTTTGTTTTTCTGGTTCTTTTTTCCATGAAGACTTCAGAAACTTTACAGGCTCCAAGGATGAAGAAATTTATTTCTAATTCAAAGGATTTTTTTTTTTTCTTCTTTTTCTGCAAATGAATCATTTAGGTTTCATATGTGAAAATTAGTAGTTTCTTACACGTGGGTATGAAATCTTAGGGTTATTCTATTTTCATTTCTTCTACTTTCTAGAGTTTAGGGCTCTTTTTGTAAGAAGAGGTGCACTTTTTTTTCTCTACTTGATGAAGCAACATTATCTTGTGACATATTTTATTCATTTGTTCCTTTGTTATTCTCTTTGTGTCTAGTTGTTTTCTACTTTCCCCTTTATTTTCACTTTTTTTTATCCTAATTTCTTGTGCTCCTCTTTGATTTGTTGTCCACTAGAGTTTAACTCTAACAGATACTTGCAAACCATTATGTTAGTGCTTAGTTTACAGGTGACATATAATTAAGCAGTGGTGATCGTGGTACAATAGGAGGCCATTTGTGACAATGAGAGGAACATTACCTTGTTTTATGTGAAATGAAGAAGGTCATCAGGTCTCCAATGTTCTTCATGCACTGGCTGCTTATTGGTTCATTGTGATTGTTTTATGTGTATACTTTCAGAACATTAGGATTCAAAATTATATAAGTGCACAGGTTTTTAAAAGATCGAGCCATCAAGCCTGTTCTCTAGGAGTAACCCACTTAATGAAGAGATGCATAAAGAAATGGTGATCATCATTATTCAATATCCTCCCTTCAGTTGGATTAGTATCCTACCTCCACAAGAGAATTATGGCAGTTTCTCTGAGTAAGACACTTATCTATTGCAAGGGCACTGAGTTCACACTAGGTAGTCGACATATTTTGAACTTCTAGAAAGGAGAGAGAGGGTTGTTTGAAAGGAATGACATTGTTTTATCCATATACTATTTTATGTGTAATCACTCATGAAACTAGTTTAGTCACTTGATTATAAATTTATAAATTCTATGTTAGTCAATACTCTTGTTATTCGTATCATCAATATTTTCCAATAAGGGAATGTTTTCATCCTTTCACTTGGTGAAAACATATGATGAACATATGGTGGTTTACTCTATGGTTTATAATTACTTTTGTCATTATGGTTGGTCTATTTGCTCCATCAAAATATAAAACATGGTAGTCTATGTCACATGTTTGGCAGTTAAAAGACGACTTACCTTTGGCTAGATTCTATGTTAGATGTCTTAGTTATCTGTCTTTACAGTTTCTTATTTTGAATATCAACTCCCAAATTATCCTTTACTTGTCCAAGTAAAGCACCACAATGTGATGATAAGATAAGTTTTCTACTTTTGGCCTAATCGACCTCATTCATGGCCAATAGACCTCCTTCACTTAACATTTTATTTATGATGTTTATCCAACTCATACTATCCACGCATGCTTTGAGCTACATGTCTCCATCTTCTGAATGACATCAGTGATCTCATCAATATTAATCGCATTGCTTAGGGGTTGAGACAATTTACCTTTTCCTTTATAGTTATAGTTCATGATACACATACGGCACAAGACATATTATAATTTGGTCGCATGTTAACATATGCACTGCTGTAAATTCATAATTTATAAAGACTATGGACATCCTGGATATCGGACAAGTATCTGCAAATGCCTGAAAACCCCAGCGGCTTAATTCATTGCCATTTTAACATATTCCGGAAATAACTTTAGCTTAGGCACTGGGCATGGATTTGCAACATGGCCAGCCTTCGTTGCTTCTGCTAACTTATGTTCATTGGTCTTTAGAAAACTTTTCTTGGTGAACTGCAAGTCCTTGAAGCTTTGAATATTGCAGTAAATCCAATGGGTGATGCATATAGTTTGTGACTTCATGGTAGAGTAATCATTGTTGTGCATGGAGAAGCCATTCGTTTTTTGGACATGTTACGGGAGTCCTTAGACCTCAAAATTATGTTGTGCATGGAGGAGCCATTAGTAGGTTCTTTCTTTAGTAGACTAATGACACTTTTCTAGTAGTCAAATTTCAGGGATCATGGTGGCAGGAGCTGCTGGACTGATTCTTGCAGCTGGTGTTGCATTTGCATCAGTATCACTAAAGAAGAAAACAGGTACTCTCTCTCTCTCTCTCTCTCTCATCTTACACCAATGTGGATGTGGAATTTCTTTTTTTTATGTTCATGTTCTTTTGGAATCTGTAGTTTTTTGCAGAGGATGAGCGCCAGCTAGCAAATTGTTAATTTATCATTTATGAGTTGCTGCTTTATGTCCAAACTGATCTGTTTGTAGCTGTGAATCCGGCCTGTGCAAATGTGCCCTTTTTTTTTTGGGTCCCTTTCACTTGTAAGGTTCCAATTTCCTTGACTTTGCAAGATAATTTATTGTTTATAGGTTTGAAAGAGCAGATGCGACCCCTGACAGCGGAGCAAGAAATTTTGTTAGCTTCAGATGATCAAAAAGAAACTGATGAGGTCAAGGATATCACAATGCCATCATCAAATGAAGAAAACCCAAATCCCAACTTTGCAGTAACCTCGCCTCCAGCAGATCCTAATACAGGTACAGATCAGGATCCTCCACTTCATGAAGAACTTACGAACTCTACTGCTGAAAGCAGTATCAATGGTTATGACCAAATGGGGGTTACTTCTAAGATTGAAAATTTTGAATCTGAAGTGTCAAAATCTGATCCAGTTATGTCCAATCTTGATATTGAAGCTACTGACCCAGTCTCACCAGTTTCACCTCAGATAGTTGTTGATGATTTAAGTCCTAGCTCTCTTGATGTGTCTGAATCCGATCAAGTTCAGTATCCTGATTCTTCTAATGTGGAGGATTCATATGGGACCAAGGGTTCCAAGAGTTTGGACCAAGGTGCTGAACAAAGTTCGGGTGTTGTCTACCCTGTTGAAACACCTGTTTCTGGGACTAGTGCATTGAATACTCACCCCCAAGACTTAGATTCTGCATTAAATGAAAGTGAATCCCCAGAGTTTCCAAGTTTGGGCACTTCCAGTTCTCACGATCAACTCCCTACAAACCCTTTAGCTTTAAACTCTTCAGTCCCTTTAGAATCATCCAGTGGTCAAGATCCTACTGTTGAACCCGAAATTGTTGAGACAAGGACTCCCATTTCGGAGAGGGACCAAAGTGAAGGCATTTTAGTTCCTGTGGAAGGGAGTTATCAATATGAAAATGTGCATTTGGAAACAGCTGAAATACCAAGACAAGCTGACCTGTTTGAAAATGAACAACACAAAAATGGCTTTAAGGAAACCAATGCAAGCGACTCGTCTCTTGAATCATCAGTTCCTGAAAGTTCCTTTGCCTATCCTGGCATACCTGCTCCATCTTTGGTTTCTGCAGTTTTACAGGTGGCTCCGGGGAAAGTTGTGGTTCCCGCCATAGTTGACCAGGTTCAGGGGCAGGCATTGGCAGCATTACAAGTCTTAAAGGTACATTGTTCTTTTGAATTTTTAGTGGAAGTAGTAATTCTGATTTTGAGGTGCTGATGTGAAAACTTATTCTTATTCTATGAGTGATTCTTTGATTAATACATGACTTTGATTGGATGCACCAGTGAGCTAATTCTGTTTTCAAATCATCCCGACCAATCATCCTATGGAGATCTCTGCTAAAAACTAAGTTTCCAGCTTTGCTTTCTCATCTATATTTCACCTCGTATGAACAGGCTATGTGGAAATTTTGAATTTGCAAAAACATTCTTGACTTTCAGAAAAATCCTCAAAGATTGTCTGAACCGTGTGGGGCAACTTGATCTATATGTGTCATCTTAAATTTCATCTCAGCTAAGAAAGAAATAGAAGAGTATGTGGAACTAGATTGATTTGTCCTGATCCACCATCTTTCATGCAGGAGATTCAATAATATGAGAGAGAGAGAGAGAGAGAGAGAGAGAGAGAGAGAGAGAGAGAGAGAGAGATATAAGTATAGTGAGTATAGTAAGTTAAGTTTAAAAAGTAAAGTAGTACGTACGTAGTAGTAAGTAAGTAACGTTACTTTACCTTTAAAAGTAAAAAGGTAAAAAGGAAA